AGATGTTTTGCCCAATAGACTGTTTGGCAAATAAGCACATGAAGAGATGTCCAATGCCATTAGTCATTACAGAAGGAAATTAAAACCACATGAGATACCACTACATACTTACTAGAATAACTTGGAGAAAGACTAACCAACCCGAGAACTTTAAGTGCTGGTAAGGATGCAGCATAGTGAGGTCTTTCATAGACGTAAAGTGGTAAAACTAATACGGAACATAGGCAGGCAGTTTCTTACAAAGTTGAACACACATTTACCCTATGACCCAGCAATCCCACTCCCAGGTACTTACATAAGAAATGAAAATACATTCACATGAAGAGCATATGTGAATGTTTATACCAGCTATATTCACCATTGCCCCAAACCAGAATGACACCACGGGTGGGTATTGTTCAGTGGGTGAACTGATAATCAGTAATATACCCACACCATGGAGCACCACTTAGCAATAAAAAGGAGCCTATGGCTTGGGTAAGCCTTAGATGCATTATACGAAGTTGACCCTTTTCCCATTCAGATAAAAAAAGTGCAGCGTGCTGCTGTCGCTCATTTAATTTTACAGAAACATGCTCTTTGAGGTTGAAGCAAATCTGACTGATTGTCAATGCGAAAATAAAATATGAAAACTCTTCTTGTAGTTATTTCTAAGCAGAACTAACATCAGAATTGTCTGAATCATCAGAATCATCTATTATGGAAAAACCGGATGCATCCACTGAAGCTGTGGCCAACAGCTGTTCCAGAGCAATGCTGATATCACGAGTAGGAACGCCATGTTTTCTAGGATCTGACATTTTCAGTGATTGAGATCATATTTTACAAATGGAAATGCCACTACTAAGAATAGAATGCTATAAATAGAATGATGTTTGATGTTTCCAAAGTTGATATACTAGAGCAATGTGACAATAATAAAAGCGAGATACTTTGTGGCAAAGTTATCTCACTGAAGCCACAAGCTCTGCTGGCTGGTATTCTCGGGGCAAATGGGAGTAAAGAAACTAAACTCAAAAGGCCGTGTACTCTTTTCCATTTATATGACATCGTGGAGGCCAGGTGCGGTGGCTCACATCTATGATCTCAGCACTTTACGAGGCTGAGGTGGGAGGATTGTTTGAGTCCAGGAGTTTGAGACCAGCCTAGACAACATGGCAAAACCCTGTTGCTAAAACAAAATAAAGTAAAAAATTGTATGACATGATGAAGATAAAATTGTAATGACAGAGAATAGACCAGTGCTGCCAGGGCTGGGATGGGTAGCGGGTGGGACTTCAAAGAGCAGTGTGATGTAGCTTTGGGGGCGGTGGAACTGTTCTGTATCCTGATTGTGGTGGTGGTTGCCATGAATAGGATATAGTTCCATGGCTAAAATCATGAAATTATACATGAACAACATTTATTTTTATTTAATTATAAAAAGCAATGTATCAGACGGGAGGAGGCAACTAAAAGAATGAACCTCTCATGGTGGAATTTGGAGCCTGGTGACATATGATCACAAGGAGAGGGTGGGGGAGGGAAGCCTGCTGAAACGCCAAAGCAGCTCCCCACACAGGTGAGGAGGCGGCTGGGACCATGCACCTCCTGCCCACCCAGAGCTACTGTGGGCTGAAGGTGAGGTGCAAGACGATCGTTAGATGTTTGCTCTGGTCTCCTCAGCAAGGTGTTTCTCTCCCAGTGGGAAGGCCATAGGGCGGGCACAGTGTCGAGAAAGGGCTCCCGCTCTGTGCATACCCCATACTTCTCAGCCTCTCTTCCTTCCCTGAGACTACCTGCTCTTCATCAGCCAGTGACAAAAACCTGCAAAGTGACTTGGGACTGATGTGCTGAAAAGAGGGACACAGTGGATAGCCTTGGAGGCCAGGAGGAGAGAGACAAGACTCCATTCCCGCAGAAGCGCTGCTCTGGACCCTGAAGCACACAGCCTCCCCCCCTTGTAACACACACACAATCACACAGACACACACAATTACAGGCACCAACACACAAAGACATGTGCATACCCAACCACACAGATACGCATACACACATACACCCACCATCACACATACAGTCACTCATTCACACAGTCACATGAACACACAACCACAAGTACCAACACAAAAAGGTGTATATACACAACTACACACAGACACATATACATCCACTGACATACACACACACACACCCATCATATTACCCTTGAGCTGTCACCTAATACACAAAGCAAGCACATTTCCTGGCAAACAGAAACCCCAGACAGGGCTGTGGCCTGCCCCCACGAGGAGCACCACAGCCTCCATCTAGAGCTCCTTGGAGTTGGTGCGTGACTAGGCCTTGGCCAAGTAAGCCCGTCCTCGTGCCTCCTGCCTGACCCATCCCATCTCCTCCTGTGGGCAAGAGATGATCCTGTGGGTACAATTTATTCTCCAAACTTGCTGAGTCTCCACCAGCCAACAGCTCTAACTGCTTGGTTCAGGAGTCCTAGGCCTCGCACTACTTTTAGGCCAGGTGGTTCGCTGCCCCTGGAGCCCTATAGTGGGAATAGACAATAAATCTGAAACCTACCAAAATATATCATTACAAATGATGATCAGTCCTATGCCAGAGCCCTTCAGGGGACCCACATAGAAAATACAGGAACTGGCCTGGCATGGTGGCTCACTCCACAGAACTGGCCTAATCCCAGCACTTTGGGAGGCTGAGGCAAGCAGATCGCATTGAGGTTGGGAGTTCGAGACTAACACAGAGAAAGCCCATCTCTACTAAAAATACAAAATTAGCCGGGCATGCTGGTGCATGCCTGTAATCCCAGCTACCCAGGAGGCTGAGGCAGAAGAAGAGCTTGAACCCAGGAGGTGGAGGTTGTGGTGAGCCAAGATGACACCCACTGCACTCCAGCCTGGAAGACAAGAACGAAACTCCGCCTCAAAAAAAAAAAGAAGGAAAGAAGGGAGGAAGGGAAGAAGGGAGGGAGGAAGGGAGGGAAGGAGGGAGGAAGGGAGGGAGGGAGAGAAGGAAGGAAGGAAGGAAGGAAGGAAGGAAGGAAGGAAGGAAGGAAGGAAGGAAGGAAGGAAAGAGAAAATAAATACAGGGACAGAAAGGGGACTTGTTTAGAGTCGAGAGAGGTTTGGTAGGAGTCAGGTCACACAGTCACCTGACCTAAAGGAGTCAGGTAACGCTTGTTCCAGCATAAACCAGGCCTTGGGGCCTCCTTTATAATTCACCCTTTAAGCTGGCCTGGACAGGGTTGAGGGTGGGGAAGGGGAGATCCCTGGTCACATAGGACTGTGGGTTAAAGAGAGTTTCACTAGAATTTTCAAATGAACATCTATGGGCAATCTTTTTTGTTCCCTCTCCCCGCAGAAAGCGCCTGAGACAGGTGTTTTGCAGGTAAAGACAGTAAGGTTTAGAGGATAAGAAACTTGAGAAAGCCTGGATGTGGCAGGACAGGATTGAACCCAGAAGTTCCAGGTAGAGTCTGAGTGAGTTCACTTTGCCTCTGCAACAGCTGCAAACATGTGACAACTATCTTGGTCTCACCTGGTTGCTGGGTAACCTTGAGAGACAGGTGTTTGCCTCATTCCTTGAGCAGCAAAGGTCACACAATGGCAGGGTCTGACTCCCAAGCATCTATCACACATCCTGTCCACTCTGCCTCCTTGGAGCCTGGGCTGGGGAGCAGACTTAGAGATGGACCCAGCTATGCTTCTGGCATTGGGCTCTAAGTCTGAGGCGGGGTTTTATTTTGTTCTGTAACCTGCAAAGTTGGTGGGAGAGCCCATTGCTTTGTTGGGTGGGTTCAGCGTGGCCCCACACTGGGCCTCTGCTGCCTGGTCACTGTGTAGCTCCCTGTGGCGGCCCCTCACCACATCTGCACTAACATCACCACGTCTGGCCTAAGCCAAATTCTGCCGGCCTGGAATCCCTTCTGCACCCCAGGGTCTTCCTGGTGGCCATGGGCATGCCTGCCTGGCCCAGGAATTCAGTCTCCTGCCGGGGAGTATGGACAAGTATCTGCAGGGAAGGAAGAAATCTTGGAGCCCAACAAGAGAGACTGTGTTTACTCCACTCATGTCTGGTTGTGTGACCTTGAATAAGTCCCACCCTCCCTGGGCCTCAATTTCATCATCTGCAAAATGGGGATAACAGTCCCCACCTCACAGGGTTGATCCAGGAATGAAGTGCCTGGAAGATACCCCACAGGGAGCATGCGATGCACCAGGTACTCAGGAAGCATGTTCTCTTGGCATTGTGGGGGTAGCGGGTTGGCAGTCCAGCTGGGCCCCTCACACAGCTAGGCAGTCCTTGGCTGCCAGGGTTACTCTGCTGGATGCGGGCCTTGGACTCAGCAATTCACATTCTTACCTTAATTTTAAAAATCAGTTGCTATAAAAGTGAATCTGGTCAAGTATCAAATAAATAAATTCAGTGGGATTCTAACAAATGCCAATGGCAAGAAGAGAAAAATTAAACAGCAAGCTGCCTGTGTATGTGTGAAAGAAGATGCAGTCTCACATCCCTGCTTCAGAAACCTCCCGGGCACCTCTGCCTTGGAAATGCCACGAACTGCCAAGAAAGTCCTGTGAGTGTTCTAATATTTCGGTTGGAAATTTAAATATCGGAGTTTGAAGGGCGGGGACCTTCTCTAAGCTAATCGAGTGACCCAGAGCTCTCATGGAGACCCAGGCAAGACCAAAGTCTTAAATCCCGGAGAAATCTTCCTCCTCCTGGCGGTTCTCACGCGGAGCCCTTTCCCCCGATGGACCGACGCTTTCGCACCAACTGCTCAGCCAGCCCAGCCCGGATCCTTTCAGGCTGCGGGCCCGGGATGCCGCTGAGATGACAGACGGGGGGACCCTGCACCTCTCTCCAAAAACTGAACCCCAGTCCAGGCATCTCTCCAAGCTCCCAACCCAGGCATCCGAGTGGAAAGTGGCAAGCCTAGGTCCCCCGGCCTTGGCGCTGCCTCCCCTGTGCGCGGGACAGGGGAGAGAGGCGGGAGGGACACTGACCTGGGAAGCCCGCGGCTCCGAGCAGGCGAGGAGCAGCAGCAGAAGGAAGAGCGCGCGCGGAGAGCTGGGCACCATCTTGCCAATCGGAATCTTGCTGCTTGGGAGGGGGAAATAACTTTGTCTGCCTCCCCTGCCGAGTTTGTCCCAGCGGTGCGGCAGACGCCCCTGCAGGGTGCGGGGCGCCGCGTGGCCCGAGGGCGGCTCGGGCAGGGAGGAAGGCAGGGAGGCTGGAGGCTCCCGAGCGCCGCGCGGTCCGGCCCTTGCTCGGGTCCAGGTGCGCGGTGCACCGGACCCTGGAGCAGCGCGGCCACGAGCGTCCGTAGCTGCCCGCACGAGACAGTCCGGGCGAGGCGGGGAGGCGCCAGCCCCTTGGCTAAGGCCGAGGGAGGAGGGGCTGCCCGGCCAGGAATGCGCCTGGGAGCGCGCCCAACCCGCGCGGCTCCCCAAGGAGGCCGGGCACGACGCCGAGGACGAGCGCGGGCATCCTCAGGTCCTGGCAGGGATGGGCGGCGGGTGCTCCGCACATGTGCGGATGACTGGAAGCCCACCCTGGGCAGGTTCACTCCTGATTGTCCCATTTCCCAACCAAGGAGCCTGAGGCTCAGTCACTAAGGACAGGAGGCAGAACAGAAACCCAAACCCAGCTTCGTCCTACCTCAAAGCCCAAGCGACACCCTCCTCCAGGACATTCTGAGAAGGGGACCAGGCGAAAGACTTCATAAGCTTGACATGGAGTGGACTGAGTTCTGCATCCGAATAAACTAATGTCCCTTTCAATAATGCAATTGGGGTGCGAGAACACGCACGCACAGTGAGTAGATACACAGTGACACAGTGATCTACAGCCCTTTTCCTGATTCAGTCCTTCTGCTCAAGGCAAGGAGAAAGTCAGTTTAAAGAGGAGACCATGTTCTAGAACACTGCATGCCTTGCTAAGGTCAAGTCAGGAAGCGCCGGGCGGGCATGAGCAGTCTGAAGTCCCCTGCTATCAGGGCCGTGGTACAGCAGATGCCTCTGACCTGAGCTCCTGGAAGGCTGATTGACGTTCTTCCTGGTTTTCTGAAAGCAGCCACTGCGGATGTCCCGGGACACACAAGTCTGGTCAAGCCCTAGATCGCTTTTTCCTTTTCCACATTTTACTTTGTGAGCCCTCTCAGAGCTCAAGGAATGGAGAGCCCAGAAGACTGCCACCGCCAGAGCAGGAACTGTTTTCCAGGGGAGGCCAGAGAGGAAAGTCGGAGTCCTGGCTTAGTCCCTTCAAACTGCTGTAGCAAATTCCATGAATTGGGTGACATATAAACAACAGACTCGTATTTCTCACAGTTCTGGAGGCTGGGAGGTCCAAGATCAAGGTGCCAACAGAATAGGTGTTTGGTGAGGGCCTGAGTTCTAATTCCCATGTCCTCACAGGGGCAAAGAAGCTCTCTGGGGGCCTCTTTTCTGAGGGCACTAATCCCATTTGTGAGGGCTCTGCACTCATGATCTAGTCACCTCTCTAAGGACCCACCTCCTAATGCTATCATCTTGGGAATGAGTTTTGCAACATACAAATTTAGGGGAGACACCAACGCTCAGAACATAGCCAGTGCCCCAGAAAGCAAGGGTCATGGTTCAGGCTGGCCTCCTGGGCATTTGTTGCTTAAGAAATCCTACAGTGCTGCTCCCCCGACCTTCCCATGCAAAGGAGGAGGAATGGGACCCAAGTAATCTTTTTTTTTTTTTTGAGATGGAGTCTTGCTCTGTTCCCCAGGCTGGAGTGCAGTGGCCTGATCTCTGCTCACTGCAACCTTGCCTCCCTGGTTCAAGTGATTCTCCTGCCTCAGCCTCCTGAGTAGCTGGGACTAGAGGTGCCTGCCACAATGCCCAGTGAAATTTTTTATGTTTTTAGTAGAGATGGGGTTTCACCATGTTGGTCAGGCTGGTCTTGAACTCCTGACCTCAAATGATTCACCCGCCTCGGCCTCTCAAAGTGCTGGGATTACAGGTATGAGCCACCATACCCAGCAAGGGATCCATGTAATCTTATTTTGCATTCCTGGTTGAACATCCTGAAGAAAGACATGGTCAGACCCCTGCTTCACCCTGTCCAGGTGGAGAGGACGGGGCAGCACAGCCCCAATCCAGGGCAGTCTGTGGAGATTGTGGTTTTCTGCCTCGCTCTCTCGTATGTTTGCTGTCTACAACAAAAAGCCAGTGCCCTGCTCCCCCTCTGTCTCTCTGTCCTCTGCTCTATTCTTGAAAAGTTTCCTCCTGGTCCATGTAGCTGCGTTTATTCATATTTTGTGTCCTATCACACTTTGTGTTGTTTACATGGCAGCCTTCTTTGGAGGGCCAGCTATCCTGGCTCTCAGCCTTGTTCTGACTGTGCACTGGGAATCAGACATTGGGCAGATGCAAGCAAGCCTTCTTTTCTCTTCTCCTGCCCTTTCTATGGAGTCATAAAGCTGGAAGAGATTCTTCATTTCACAGATGAAGAAGCTGAAGTGGGGCATGGTTGACTGACTTACCCAAAGTATGCAAACTGTGGTCTCAAGATCCCTCCTCCCAGAGTGGTGCTGTTTCTAGGACAGACTACCTTTGACTTAATCCCACCTTTCACTTTAGGGATACTATGCTACTTATTATATTAAATATAGGATCACAAGATTTCAAGAATTTTATTTACAGAAATGGGGGGGGAGGTCTGTTTTTCTTTCTTTCTTGTTTTTTATTTTCTTGGGTTTTTGCTTTTCAAATATTTCTAAGTTTTAACAGGATTTTTTTTCCTAAGTAATAACTGCTATTTGTTACCTTTGCTCTATGGCTGCCTTCCCTCTAGTGTTCTGGCATCTGGTCTAAATGACCTTCTAAGATCTGACTGCCCCAGCAGCACTGTCTTTTCTCTGTCTCTGTCCTCAGCTGCCCTCAATCTGCAGTAATCAAGGCAGATCCTATCAAGCCCAGAACCTACCAAGGCTGTCTGTAAGCAGATCAGCCCATGAAAATAAGCAGGGTGCTCTACCTTTAAGCCCCCTAAACCTCACCTTTAGCTTAATACAAGGGGCCTATCAGCTACTTTATTCCTCTATTTCCCCTCTGTTTAGTTTTCAAGAGGATATTCTTGAGTGTCGGGGGATTGGTTTGGTGGGGGTCAACACGTCTACAGAAAGTATTTTAAAAGTCTTTTGGCAGGCAGGATCAGTTGCCATCTCCTGGGATCCATGCCTTGATACACTCATGTTGTCTGTGTAACATGGACATGCAACACAAAATGGGAAGATTTGTTATAGAAATCTGTGTTTAAGACCCCAACAGGGGCCAGGTGCAGTGGCTAATGCCTGTAATCCCAGCACTTTAGGCAGCTGAGGCAGGTGGATCACTTGAGGTCAGGAGTTTGAGACCAGCCTAGCCAAGATGGTGAAACCCTGTCTCTACTAAAAGTACAAAAATTAGCCAAGTGTGGTAGCAGGCACCTGTAATCCCAGCTACCTGGGAGGAAGAGGCGCTTGAACCCAGGAGGTGGAGGTTGCAATGAGCCGAGATCACGCCGCTGCACTATGGCCTGGGCAACAGAGTGACACTCTATCTCAAAACAAACAAACAAACCAACAAACAACAACAACAACAACAAACTCCAGCAGAAGCAGGATCCAGTCTGAAATAATCATTCCAGAGCTATCCTGGGACCTCCTCTGGGTCCTCCATTGTGCCCTCCTATGTTGGGACCGTGGACTTACTGATTCAACTATGGCTGAGTCTTACTGTCAGCTCGTTTACAGCTGCTTTTCTCCCTTTTCATCCTTTACCCCACATCTGTCTGTAGTTCTAAATGTCATCAACCCCTACGAAGCACCTACAGAGGTCCCAGGAACAAAGCCCAGCATGTTAGCCTGACAGGGCAACAGGGTAGAAACAGTGTAGGGAGAATGGTCTAGCAGGAGTGCAGTGACGTCATCCAATTCATGCATTACAAAAAATTTGTCAAGTGCCAACTCCAGGCATGGCCCTGTGCCAGCCACTACATTATCACATTACATCTAGAGCTTTAGCTAGCAGAACTGTGCAGTCCTGTGCCGAACGTTGAAGAGACTATCTACTTATGTATGATGTCAGGACTGCTAGTTGAAACTGTCCCCCCCCCGAAAACGGTTTCCAATTTTACAAGATGAAAGCCTGTAGAAAAGCAGATTTCACTGTGCTGTGATTAAAGACCAAATGCCAGTTAACATCTGTCAAAAGGAGCAAAACGTTGAACATCCACGAATGCCATTCCACATGCCTTTGGAAGCAGTAGAGTGGTGGATGCAGTCAGGCACACACAGCCCTTGCCATCGGACATGCCTGGGCCAAATCTTACCCCTTCTTGCTGCTCGTGTGAACTTGTAACTCTTAATCTTTACAGGTCTCCGTTTCCTGATTTATACATGGGAATACAAGTACTTATCAAAGAGATTATGATATTTCAAAATAATAAAATGCCTAACACAATGCTTAGCATAAAGTAAATGCTCAGTTACAGGGACATTGCTTATACTAATGGTCTTTCATATAGGGACAACATAAGAAGGGAACAAACATGTCTTGAGCACCTACTGTAAACCGGTCACCAATGCTCTCATTTGTTCTCATAACAACCCACTGAAATGGATCCCGTTATTAATCCCATTTTACAGATTCTGAAACTGAGGCTTAGAATGCTTCAGTAGGTTGCCCAAGATCAAACTGAAATTTTGAGTAAATGCTAAGCAAAAGGAAAACCTGGATAAAAGGCATAAGTGCTAATTTTGCAACTTTTAAGTCTAAAATTATCTCTAAGTAAATAAATGTGTGTGTGTGTGTGTACAATTTAATATTTTATTTTACCTTATGTCAGTTATGATAAATTATAGTTTTCAATGAATTTTTACATTTTATCTTATTTGTTAAATATAGTGGCATAAAATAGTATCATTCTCTCTCTCTCTCTCTCTTTTTTTTTTTTTTTTTTTTGAGGCAGAGTCTTGCTCTGTCACCCAGGCTGGAGTGCAGTGGCACATTCTCGGCTCACTGCACCCTCCACCTCCCATGTTTAAGCGATTCTCCTACCTCAGCCTCCTGAGTAGTTGAGATTACAGGTGTCTGCTACCACGCCCAGCTAATTTTTGCATTTTTAGTAGAGACAACATTTCACCACATTGGCCAGGCTGGTCTCAAACTCTTGACCTCAGATGATCTGCCCACCTCAGCCTCCCAAAGTGCTGGAATTACAGGCATGAGCCATCACTCCCAGCTTTCTCCTATCTTTTTAATACCTGTAAGATCTGTAGTGGTAGCCCTTCTTTTATTCATAATATTAATGATTTGTGCTCTTTCCCTTTTTTCCTAATTATTATAGATAAACATTTATAAATTTTGTTTTTATTTTCAGACAGCCAACTTTTTTGTTTGTTAATTTTTTCAAGTGTTTGTATAAAATTTCATTGGTTTCTGCTCATATCTTTATTTGTTTCAATAGTACCTAGGACATGTTTTAATCAGGTGTGGTAAGATACATAGACATGAAAATAATTTCCTGCCAGATA